GCCTTCTGGCCTAGGCCACTGCAGGCAGGTGGCTGCATTTCTGGAATCAAAAGTGAATGTCTGTTCACTTGCTTATTGGCTCAATCTAGGCAGCTGAGACTAACCTGCAAAGATTGAATCAATTCAGCCAAGGGCTTTTTGACCGTCTGTGCTTAGCCACTGTGAACAGTTACCCACCTGAACAAGCGCCACTAAGCATGGCATTAATCCTTCTCGAATATGGCCCTTGGCTTATTCCTCTTTGAATCTATTCTGTATTCAAAGCAAGTACATTTTTTTTTTTCTGTCACTATACCGCTATTGTTAACAACTATAAATGTATTAAAAACACAAGGGCATTTTGGTATGTGTATAGTGCATGAGAAATATTGTTACATGACAAGCTCCAATTGGCAAGTGAAAAGAGGTTTTATTGAAGGAAATAGCAGTAGCAAACAGTGAACTATGCAGAATAATGGTAATTGTTCCTTTAACATTGGCAGCGCACGTTCACTTAATATGACTGCTCCTCTGTCTCTGCCTCATCCAGACCCAGAGGACCTGTTAGACAAGCAGGCAGCCACCTCTCTCTGGGATCAAGCTGTCAATGCAAACTTGCTTTCTTTCTATTTCTCTGAGCTAAGCTATACCCCCAGAGCTCCAGAAGCTTTTCCTGAGTGAAAGCTTTAAAAAAGCTCCATTCTAAATTACATCACATGAGCTGTTCTCTTCAGACTGACAGAACAAAAGGGGGGGGAATGCCAAAAGTACAATCTGAATGATTTCTTAGTGGCACTGAATGATTTACCTCTTCGCAGTTTATTGAAACAGATTAAACTTGCCTTGACCTTGCCTAACCAACCCTGCATGAGCTCTCCAGTAACTAGTTTCCTTTCAAAGAAAGTTCAGCTAGTGTATGAGGGAAACGATAAAAAAAAAAAATGTAGCAGAAAGCTACTCTGCAGAGCCCAGTTCATTGCAATGTCTTAGCATTCAGAGCCCCATGCAGGTGATTACTATCTTTAGTGAGTGCCAGAAGTATGCCTGGCTCTTTGCAAATATTTTAGATAACATGGTCTGGGCTGTGGGCAGCTCCTCCTTGAAATACCCCAGTTTTATGTATTCACAAGCTAATGCAGATGTATGCAGATAAGCAGTGCTGTAGCAACAAAGTTTGGCACTCAGGGCAAAGCCCGCAGTGGCAGCCCGCCCTCACCCTGCACGCAGATCCGAGGGGCACATGCCCCCCCATGCTTGCCTGGCAGGGCACGCAGTGGCAGAAGTCACCCTTCCCCCACCCCCATGCCACCCCAAAATAAGCCGCTTGTGGCTCTGTCCTGTGCCCTGCCCCAGCTGGGCCGCACCTGTTGGAGTCCCTTTGCTTTGGCACCTAGGGCAGTTGCCCTGCTCGCCCCCGTCCCCCCGCTACAGCACTGCAGACGAGAGGATTACATTGGGATAGGGTGGCAAAGTCATTTCAGTGATCTTAAAGGGTAAGTACAAACAGTCAAAAAGCCCAAGGCTGAATTGATTCAATCTTCGCGGTTTAGTCTAAACTGCATAGCTTGAACCAATAAGCAAGTGAACAGACATTCACTTTTGATTCCAGAAATGCAGCCATATGGCTGCAGTAGCCCAGGCCAGAAGCTTGGGGGCGCTAGAGCATGCCTCCCTGCTGGGCTGGAGCAGACAGCTTGGGCCAAGGCTAGCCCGCCCACCCTGCGAGGGCAGGGGGGTGGGTTGCGGGAAGAGTGCAAAACATCCTGGGGGACTGTGAGTTGACTTGAATCTGGAGGAGATCTGAGACAGAAGTTCAATAAACCAGTTAAAACCTGGACGGATGTAGCATCAGACTTTGCTGATTTAATCTTAAACTGGTTTTGGTCATTTTGAAAGCGGTTTCTGTGAACTGAACTTCTGTTGTGTTACAGATTCGAACCGGTTTCCAATCACTTATACCAGTTTATGTGCAACTTCTGTCCCTAGCCTTGTTGTGTTACAGATCTGAACTGGTTTCTTATCACTTATACTGGTTTATGTGTAATTTGTGTCCTTAGAGAAAGAATTTAGAGCCTGGCTCTGTTTGGGACATCTCCAGCTAAAGGCTGCAAGCAGAAGTAGAGGGACTAACTGAATGTTTCCTGGTCCTGCTGTCACTGTGAGGGGGAAGAAAAAGTAGACAGGCCTCATTCTCTCTTCAAAATGCCTCAGATCGGATGAAGGAGGTAGAGAGTCTCCGTACAGAGCAACTATTGGCCAGCTGTGAAAAAGGTAGGTGGTTTCTGTTTGCCTCCCCGACTAAATAAAGCTAGGAGGAAGAAATATTCCTTGGGGTATGTGGTAGTGAAAGTCTCTTGTTGAAGCACAAAATAAGCTTGTGATTTTTGCTTGCAGTTTTCAACTTTGCAACAACCCAAGCAAACCACTGGGTTTAGGCCACTGAAGTCCTACACCCCAAAGCAAGGACATTTTACACAGCTCACGTTCTGAGCCCCCCGGGCTATTTCTTAAGAAATCCATTGCAATATTCACAAGAGTTGAACTCAGGCATCCTAGCAAAATTTCCAGCTCAGCCAAATATACCCTACTGCGGCCCATACCCATTTGCCCTTTAGTGCTGAAGTGGATAAGGTTTTTTTTAATGCATATCTTAAACTGATGCTGATGCTAATAAGTATATGCACACGTTCTACAGCTGAGCTGAAACCTGAACCAGATGACAGATCAGTAATAAAGACAAACAATAAAGACAATCAGTTCCCTAGACCATAATAGTAAAATAATTAAACATTTTCTTCCGCATGAGAGGCTCCATTTAAATGGTTATAATTACAGCAACATCAATTAATATTCACCACAGAAAAGCGCAATTCAGACTTACCTGAGTCTCCGAGAGCCTGTAAGATAGGACTGCCCAATTCTGGAAAACAGGAATCAGACAGAAGGAACTCAGTATGTAAGAAACACTCATATATGTGTGAGGCTGGATTTTGTAGCATCATTAGTACAACACGGATGCCAACGTGTTGGTAAACAGAAACGTGTGCTAAAGTCCCACTATTATTATTACAGAGACAATGTATTAGATCCATAAAGAGAAGGGTACTGCTACATTGAGCATTGCTGTGCCCAGCATTTTAGGCTCTTAGCCAGCGAACTCAGCTCACAAAATCAAAGTTAGATGTCTAGGGTCTCTATTCAGTGCGTGAGGAGCATTTGATGCCTATCGCCAGAATCTAAAAAAGCTGGTATGCCAAGTGGGGAGCTACCTAAGGTACCCAGTGGGTAATGCTAAAGAAAGAAGTATGTTTTGAACCCTGCCTATCTCCAGGGCTTCGGTGCTTGCTGTTGCCTGCAGGGAAGCATCTCCCTTTTCAAAGAGGATCCACAGCTCAGAGCCCTTTCCTGGAGTCGAAGACCTACACATTTTCTATCAGGGAACTGCAGAGAGGTAAGTTCCTGCTTTCACGGTAGTTGTGTCCAACAGTGCAATGGTTGCGACATTCAGCCAGGGTCGATTCTGCCTGAGAGGGAATTGAGTTCACATCTTCCCATCTCCCAGGAGAGGGCCTTAATCATCAAGGTAAAGAGTATTCTGCAGAGGAGCACTCGCAGTCCCTCCTGGCAAAGCTGATCTGTATACTCAGAGACAGAGTGCGGGCATGACTGTACCTAATGGTTATGGCACTTATCTGGACGGGGCAAAGATGCAGATCCCGGTCTTTGCTGCACTAAGTGCTTAACATAAAATTATAAGGTGTTCACTCTTTGCCCAGGAAAACTTTTCCTGAACCTCTGCATGACAAGGGAAGGGGATTTGACCAGTATCCAGCAAGTGAGGATGAGTGTAACGAGCTGGCTTCCCTTTCCTTTCTCAGTGCTTCAGGGATGGCACAAACAAACCTGCCTATGGTGGAAGATTACATAGCAGAGCCCATTGCCAGTTGGAAACTGTAAGTCGTACAATTAAAATTGAGAAGTGTTATGTTACTTCAGATACAAACCTGGGTTCTTCATTTAACTATGGCAGGCCTCGATTTACCTTCTGTCAAATGGGGATAATATGTGTGTACTGTATGTGGCAAATGAAGGGTAAATTCATATGTTACGTGATATTTTTTTTTTTTTGTTATGCCACAAAAACGAAATTATCAGTCATTTGTAATGTCTTGCTTTACTTAGCTCCAGAAAGTTTAGCCTGTGATGAATTATGCTGCTTGTAACTTCTGTAGCTGTTGCAGTTGATGGGCACTAGTTAGCTACAAGAACTGGGTAAAACTCGATGGGTTCCTGAATATCTTTCCAACCTGCAGGTTTTCTGGGGTTTTTTTTGCAATCTTATTGTTACGCTTTTCAGCACTCTGCCTCCTACTTCAGAGCATTAGTAACGCCAAATAAAACTCAGGGTGTCCGTTAACGTTAGATAAGTTGTTTCCATTTTAACCAGAGAAAAATCTATTGACTTTAGTATGTTTGGCATGAGGAACCCGTATTCATATCCTCTTTAGGTCACTGTAAGCCAATTGTTCATCAAGGAAATACTGCACTATGCCTAATTTTCCTTTTTGCTGTACATTTACAGGAATCTTCTGTTTGGAAAGTTGGTTCAAGCTTCTGTAATCAAATTTTTGTCTGGTGGGTGGCGATGGAAATACGAACTATGGGAAACAAAATGTTATTGCCATATGTGCTGCATTGTGGTTTGGTAGCAGTTGTTGTCGGTACTCGAGTGGTCATCAAAGCGTCTCTCAGGGGAGGTGAAATATATATATAAAAATATCAGTTTTCAAAGAGTAAAGAAAGGTACAACAATTTTTGTGACAAGTTTTCAGCATGTTTCTGATTATCCTTTTGGCTGGAGAGTTGGGGTTTCTAATTGTAGGGGTAAAGAATCCTTTTTATCTATCTCTTGCCTCTTAATCCTATGCTAGACAGCATTGTTTTCTGAGCCTTTTGTCTTCTAGTGAAGGAGACAATCTCTGGCTCATGTGAACATCTTGTTAAAGTCTGTTGAGGATTAGGGGGTGTGACAGTTTTCTTGCTGAGCCTTTTTATTGGGGATTTTTATGCCTGCTATTCTGGGAGGTCTTTGAAATGTCTTCTATGTAGCAATCATTTCCCTGTTTCTTTGTTGTTCCAAAATGTTGAAGTTGTATTTTTCTCATCTGTTCCTCTTTATATTTGGTACTATTTAGACATAGTGCTGCAACTTGCAACACGGTGCTTGTCCATCTCTCTTCACACCTCCGAGTCTCATAAATATTGCTATAACAGCTGCAGTGCAATCGCGGAGCTGATTTTTGTTTAGAGCAAATTGAGTTTTCAAATGACTGGTGTCACTTTAAGAAAGGATTGAGCAGAAAGTCTGAAATGTTGGGAAAAGCCTTCAGCAAAGAGCCTGGTGAGGACCCAAAATATAAAGAAACCAGACAGATTTTCAAGTGCTCAGTGCCTGAAAGTTGAAGCTAAGCATTCAAAAGTACTCAGGACCCACTACCTACCGCTGCCACTCTTATTAACCAAACTTATCAAATGGACTCGGGGGAACAGACTGATGGAAACAGAACTAGTTTAAAGCTTTTTAATAAAAACAGATTTTTCTCACGAAAAACCGATCCTTTTTGTTGACGGGCCAGAGAGCCGGTAGTAAATCTCAGATTCTTTTCCCAACAAATCCAGAGAGAGAGCTTTTTTGCTTAAATCGTCCCTGTTTTTTAACCAGCTCTCCTGAGCATGCAGCGTATTTTAAAAATCTGGCCAATTATTTTTTATATGAAGCGACAGCTGAGTCCTGGAAATCTGGCTCTGAATGCAAGCGCTGATCTTTGGGAAATCTGGCCAATAGGGCTCTACTGTGGAGCTTACATTGGCAAGTGCTTTTGCATTCTAGTATTCCCAGGGCAAAGATTAAGCCCCCAGGCCTCCAAACTGAAGTCAAGTGAACTTCCTGCCACTTGGGCATCTACCCAGGCAGTTCCAAAATCAGGGGTTACGTGGTCACCGGTGTAAGCCAGAGTTGAACAGTGCAGTCCGTACTGACGGTGTCTGCAGCAATGAGTATCTGGCTCTCGAATGGAGAAACTCACTGCACTATTTCTTCCTTGGAGAAGACCGGGGCAATTTTTTTGGTGCAATGGCAAAACTCCCATAGACTTCAGTTGGAGGAGGAAGGGGGAAGCGAGGGATGGGGATGGATTTCGTCGTAGGAGTTTTTTTCTGCAAAGCTTCTACTTCATTCAATAGGTGCCGAATCGCATCCTTAATGGAAGAAGAATGGCTCCCCATTTAGTTGGTCCGCTTCAATTTAGTAAATGCCTATTCACTTTTGTCTCCCTTGCAAGCAATTTCGCCCATGTTTCCACTTGTTTCACTTGAAGCTTCCTTGATCGCTTTTTTAACTCAGTCTTGTGCTTCTATAATCTTATTTAATTTCCCCCTCTCTCCTTAAAACACTCTGCTCTGAATATTGCCTTATCTTATTTTATAGTACCTAATGTAGTCTTTTAAAGCAGTTTATACGTGCTAATGTGCATTGATATGCCACTGAAGTTTATCAAAATTGCCTTTCATCTTGTGTTTATTTCTACTGATATTTTTAAGCGTATGCCTCAAATGCAGCACTGTTGTGGATTAACACCGTCTTTATAAAAGCAGGTGCAACGTGTTTATTTTCTCACTAACTTTGCTATAACAAATTACTTGCATGGAGTGTGTTTAATGGGAATCTTGTGGGACTATCAAAAGGGCATTTATTTGCTATTGAAATATCAATTAAGATAACACGCACGCTAATATAGTAATCAAATAAACCTGATGGATAACAAAAAACTTTTTAAAGCT